GGCACCAGTTATGTGGGCATTTCTGCCGAACAGTGGAAATATACTTCTTGAATAATTACTGTCTGTGAATCTTGACAGGCGCTATAAATTATACTCCAAATACAAACAGCAAAAATGTTGGATCTACTCAAAGAAACAAAATAGACCCCAAAGGTCAGAGTTAAGATTACCGGATGGCATCTGGGAGGGTTAAGAACCAGTAGGGACATGGAAGCACACTCAGGTCAGCATGGGATGGATCTGCTAACGTTGGTAGATTGCTTATGTAAAATGAAAAAGATGCTTAATCTCACTGAGGGGGAAGCTCTTCAAAGACAGCTGCATTCATTAGCCCTGCTGAGCTCCTCCCAGCTCCTCTTTCCACCTGTGAGCTGCATCTTGCATCCTTCATAGGTGATGCAGAGCTGCAGTGCCCCCGAAGGAACAGCAATGACAAGAAGCCTCAGAATGTTTAAATTCAGACATAGGATATTTCCCCATCCTTCTGCCAGAATTACAGGACAGACTCCAGTAGCTGCTTTTCAAAGAGCTAACAGCTTGTATTACCCAAAAAGCAGGCTTACATAGTTACAATAGTTGTTTTCCCCTTCTTTTCCAAGCAGCAAGATCTCCTTGCCTACTCAGCAGGACAAAATCCTCCAAGATGAAATCAAGACAAAACATGCACAAAGCAAAATCTTCCCCCACCCCGACACCAAACAAGGATAAACCGGTAAGTTCTAGAGAAGAAAAAAAATTGACTTACACAACAATAATCAGAGGAGGTTATTCAAACAACTTACCTACCCATAAATATATTTTCAAGGCTGAATACTGTCATTTTATGGGTAATAAAAAGTGATTCAAAATTAACACAAGAAAATGCATGCTTGCATTCGAAAATGTATGCGTTAAACAAGGCACTAAGCAAGACTGATGGGTTTCTCAGGTTGCTCAGTGGTAAAGAATTCACCTGTCAATGCAGGAGATGTGGGTTTGATCCCTGGGTCAGGAAGATCCACTGGAAAAGGAAATGGCAACACACGCCAGTATTATTGCCTGAGAAGTCCCATGGACAGGGGAGCTTGGCAGGCTATAGCCCATGGGGTGGAAAAGAGTGGGACACAACTTAGCCACTCAACAACAGAGCAAGATGGGCAAATCTTTGCTACATTGTAATATTATATGCTCTGTAGCAAGCTGTAAGCAAAGGGCAGCAGTGACCTTCAACACAGCCCTCTGTCAGGCAGGCTAGAGTCTAGCTAGGAGCTGGGCCCACTCCTCCAATGCAAAGGCATTCTCTTCAAGAATGAAGAGATGGGGTGCGTTAGGCTGAGGCAACAGGTAAATCTGGATAGGGTCGGGGAGATGGTGTCTCTGAGGAACGGAAGTGCGTGCCCAAGCACAGGTTAAAGACTCACAGCTCACCTCAGCTCAAGAGGAAGATTTACATGTGGAAAAAAAACATCTCTGTACTATTTTTTCTAACTGTGGTAACAAAAGATTAAACAATGAAGCGTTTCATGAGAACATTATATATTTGGACTTAAAATGTCTACGCAACCTTACGGAAAGTTCATAAAAGTAAACAAACCATCCCTCCCAAAAAAATTTTAGGACCTAATATGAACAATTTACATCAGGTTACAAATATGAGATCATCAATATATGAATATATGTCTCTGTGTCTCTCACACACACATATATGCATTCAAATAATAATTTTCTAATAAAGTTTTAAAGAAAATCATATCAATACATCAGTATCTCTTAAAACCTAGATAAATGAGAGCCTAAGAGACAATGAGAGCAACTCTTGCTTCCCTTTGACCTCAGTGTTTTTTCCAAATGCAAACTTGTTTTTATTACCTTAAACATTAAGAATACTTGAAAATCATTTAGGAAGCCAAGGGAAATCAAACAAATGACCAAAGGATATTGAAAAGTGCACTATGATAAAAAATCAAGGATGTAGAAAGAGACAAATATATATATGTATGTGTGTGTATATATATATATATACATAAAGAAAATTAATTAACAAAAATTTCAAGTTAATTTTTAAAAGTCTAATAGCTTTTTTCTGTGTACTTTGTACAATTAAATTGCAGAACTATGGTTGGTCATTTGATCTTTAGGGGTAAGCACACTAATTTTAAATAACGAAATAAATTGAATATTTGGAAAAGCAAAAAGTTATTTTCATCTAACCACAACAGGCAGAAAGCAGAAAGTGCCACAAAGTCAAAGTAGTTTAGCCTTTCATAATAAATTGACTGAAATTACTAGATATTAGATTAGTTTATTTGCTTTCTTCCCTTATTATAGAGACAATATAAGCTCAATATATAAATTTATAAGAATTAAATACAAACTATCTGTAGTATTAGTATACAGAGATTGGCCACTGCTTGCATTAGTTTTGATTAGCCTCATTTCACACTTCAATTTTAAAAATGAATACAGTATTTGATTTTTTAAAAAAATGACGTGTATCTACTTTAGATACTGAATTACTCCTGTCTAAAAATGTTTGGTAACTCTCACAATCCTGCTTCAAAGTGTATACAAAATAAATGCAAAAAGTATCCAAAATATATTAGTTTATTCTTTATTATTTTTCAACTTTTAAATTTCTATTGATTTCAGTGATGACTGCTATTTTCCAAATACAAACTGAAAAAAAAATTCTGAAAAAACTCCTAAAGGAAGTTTCTCTCCTAATGCTTCGTAAGTTTATGCTTCAATTTTCTCTATTACATCAAGCAACCAAATTGAAATCTATTAAATTTATCAAAAATATAAGAATTACTGCTTAATATGCATAGGGCACATCTTCAGAACAGGAAACATACTTTTCTCTCTGTTAAGTACAAAACATATTGTAGTCATAAGACATCAAAAATGTACTTGATGTGGATAATTAATAACAGTGAGTCTAAGTAAAATTTTAAGCATCACTTAAATTGATTTAATTCAAATAAAATTCACCCTAGTCACTAATGTCTGAACCTTAATGACTCACAATCAGAAAGAAATATTTAGGTTCATATTCAAGCTTTTAAATTAAACTAGGGCAGTGCTATTGAAATTTTTTCAGTTATCAGAATACTGGAACTCAGAGCACTTTTTCTAACCACCCAAACGCTGATTAAAACTACTGAATAAATAACTTTTGGGAAAATCAGGCCCCCTCTTACAGAAGGTTTTATTATATATACCGGAGAAAAATTATGGATGGAGGTCGGGGAGAGTGAACCATTATGTATTTGATCTTACAGCAAGGCTCAGTTTGGGTTGCTGAAGTCTCTGAAGAACAGTTTGAGAAACACTAAACTAGAAAGCTCTAAATAGCCACATTTATATGTGCAATTTACATCAGGGCCTCTAATGCTTTTTTAACATTTAAAAATGCCAGCAGCACCTAATAGCCTCCTCAATTATCAACCATCTCTGATGTGCTTTCATCTTCTGCCTTCAGAAAACACAGATGTGGCTCCATGTAGAGCAATCTACGGAGAAGGCAATGGCACCCCACTCCAGTACTCTTGCCTGGAAAATCCCATGGACGGAGGAGCCTGGTAGGCTGCAGCCCATGGGGTCGCGAAGAGTCGGACATGGCTGAGCGACTTCACTTTCACTTTTCACTTTTATGCACTGGAGAAGGAAATGGCAACCTACTCCAGTGTTCTTGCCTGGAGAATCCCAGGGATGGGGTCGCACAGAGTCAGACACGACTGAAGTGACTTAGCAGCAGTAGCAGCAGAGCAATCTAGGGTCAACGGGCCCTAAAGACACCAGAATTCTCGTACAGACGCATCACAACCTTGCATATAAACAACGTCTAGCTAGGCCTGCAGTGAACTGGAGTGAGCATCGTGAGCTATCGTTTAAAATCCCATTTGCCTCCACCTTCACCCTGACTTTTCTAACTTCTCAAATCTTCTGATCTCTGATTTTCCAAACTACTGGGGTTGCCATCCCGAAGACTGCAACACAATCTAATTTGGTTTATCTCTCCCCTCCACACCACAACCAACTTGCAATGTCAGTAAACACATTATATTTATTTTCTAAGCCAAACAGACACACAAACAGTGCTGAGCAAAGAGCTCAACAAATATTTGACCAGCACTCAACCAATTTGTTGACATCTGTGAGATTTCTGAGGTTTTTTCCAATGCTCCTTTCAAAAGAAAAAGCAGTATTCTTTACCTTACCAGAGTTTCTTTAATGTCTTGTTTGCCTTCCAGTTTACTTTCAACTCTTAACAAGGCTGGTATGTCATGGCCTTCAGAGGAGAAAATGTGCAGTGACAGAAAGTCAGCCCAGTGATTTAAGCAAACCAAGAAAGAACTCGGCACCATGGAGTTCTGAAAGTGACTACAGGGGCAGCAAAAAGGAGTGCAAGCCCGCAGACCCACTCTTTTAAGAGAGAATACATAGCTAGGGAAAACACAGTCCCTTCCTTCCTTCTTTCCTTCCCTCCTCACCTCCCTCTCTCCTCCTTTCTTTCTTCCTCTAATTTTTTTTTATTTTTCAGGACATATTAAAAGGTAGCTACCCACCTACTTACCTGCCTTATATATTGGGTTGGCCAAAAAGTTTGTTTGGGTTTTTCCATGGAAAATAAATTTTCATGACAGATCAGTTTGTACATATTTTTCACTTTTATAAACTTAATGTGCCATAAAAATTTTAAAGTAAGTCTCTGAAAAGTACACTCGTCCCTCATTAACCACAACAGATTGGTTCCAGGACCCGCTGGAGGTAGCAAAATCCACTGATGCTCAAAGTCAGCCCTCCTGTATCTGCAGTTCTGAGTCATGGATTCAACAGACCTTAGATCATGCAGGACTGTAGTATTCATTAAAACAAATCCACATGAGTGGACCTGCACAGTTCAAACCCATATTGTTCAAAAGTCAACTGTGTATTTGTATTCAAATTATAAAGCCAATGTTTATAATACAGAGGAGGCTCAGAAAAGAAAACAAAAAAAATCACAGCTCTTAGCTTACCATAGATGGGGGTAAACGTGAAGTAGTCCAGATGACAAATATTATAGGCTTCAATTCTAACATCTTTCCAGATGCCCTGGGTAGGAAAAGAAGGTCCCCAGTCCCAACCAAAGGAACACTGCATCTGTAATTTCAAGGGGAAAAAAGAAGATAGACTCTAATTACCATGAGACTTAAAACATTACAAAAAACCTTTTCTTTTAAAATAGTACGTATGTGTATATTGGTTTGCCAGGGCTGCCATAACAAAATACCCCAAACTGGGTGACTTAAACAACATAATTAAGTTTTGCACAGTTCTAGAGGCTAGGAAGTACAAGATCAAGGTCCTGGCAGATTTGGTTTCCTGGGCTGACAGATGGCCGCCTTCTCACAGTGCCCTTAACAGCCTCTTCTGTGCACACACACATATACCCTTGCTGTTGTCCAAATTTCCTCTTCCGATAAGGACATCAATGATACTGGATTAGGACTAATCCTAATGGTCTCATTTAACTTAATCACCTCTTTAAAGTTCTCACCCCCAAACCGGGAGACATTTTGATCTTATTGAGGGTCAGGACTTCAATACATAAATTTGGGGGGGGTACACAGAATTCAGTCCATGATAGTGTGATCTTATTGAGGGTCAGGACTTCAATACATAAATTTGGGGGGGGTGGGGTACACAGAATTCAGTCCATGATAGTGTTCATGCCATGATAGTGGCATCTAAAATAACCCACAATGCACCACTCCTGGTATTCACACCCTAGTGTAACCCCCTTCCCTTGAGTATGACATGACCTAATGAATCACTTCTAACCAACAGAATACAGCAGTGATGAGAGCATGTCCAAAATTAGGTTACAGAAGACTGTACCTTCTGTCTTAGGTCAGCTCTCTCTTGGCCAAGAGGGAAGTTGGCTGCCATGCTGCGAGGCAATTCTGGAATGGGGCCACATGAGTGAGCCTGGAGGCCCATCTCAGGCCACCAATAAGCACGTGATGGAGCTTAGGCAGGCCTCACCCAGGCTTCAAGTGACTGCAGCCCTGGTCCAGAGTTTGTCAGTAACCTCATGAGTGGCCTTGAGCCAGAAGTACCCAGCTAAGACACACCTGCATTCTTGGCTGACAGAAACTGTGATAACAAACCTTGTTTTAAGCTGGTAAGTTTTCGAACAATTGTTACACAGCAATAGATAACTTAATACAATAACTAATCTATCAACCTAGGCAACATAGTTAAATTTGGTAGAAAAGTTCCAAGACTATAAAATCTAATTATGTACATTTATCCTTTAAAAGCATATTACGCTGAAGCAACACAATAGATACTCTTTAAATTTCTTCAAAATATCTCTAAACCTACTACTATAGTTAAAGGTAATAACTATAAAAAATGAGGAAACATACTGAAAGATAAAAATACGTTTAAACAGGATTAAGAGACTGGCTAGACTTGCAAACCCCTATTTCCTCCAGGATGAATTCAGAAGTCCTAGGTTCTGAACTTACATCCCAGAAACAATAAGTTCAGAATTTACACATCTATTGCAATTACCCTTCAATTAAAAATAAATAAATTTTTGAAAGTATAAAAAAACAAAATAGCAAGAAAAGAAAAAAAAAAGCCCTCAACATTCAAAAACTAAAATCATGGCATCCAGTCTCATCACTTCATTAAAAAAAGAAAAGAGAAAAAAAAAAAGACTTTAGGCACTGACAGACGTAACCAGAGCAGAATTTTTCTAACTTCCACTTCGTAAAAGAAAAAAAAATTTCTAAAACACAGTCAATTAAAATGTGTGAGGCTGAGTTAAGCTTTTAAAAGAGAATAAACACCAGAGGAAGTAATGAGATCTTCCTGAAGGGAGAACTTGCAGAACAGAGCCTAAGGATCTGGCCACACTGTTCTCATTTAAGCATTTGATATTATTTCCTAAGTTCTGTACTTATCTGTAACAGAGATAATTCAGTCTCCATTACAGAGAAAAACAAACTACTAAAACCACTTCACAGCATCCACATCCATATAAAATCAGGACTTAAGGATCTCATGTTCAGAATGAAGACCATCTTGGGGATAGTTATTGCAGGGTTTTTAAGTTCAGATATGTAATTATTTTATTAGGAATAGAGAGAAGGAGGAGGGCAAAAATATTCAACATCTTATAAGGCAGATTATTTTCCCCAGCAAGGGTTACAAATCACTCTAATTCATATAATCTCTCCAAATAAAAGTTTTCACTTATTCAAAAATATTTGTACAGTGCTCTCTATGTTTCGGCCTGGGAGTATATTAACATACCAAATAGAAACAGTCCTTTTGCTTACTGCACTCACAGTATATAGCAAGAGATTCAGGCATTGAACAAATATTCACAAAGGAAAATAAAGGAAACAAATTGAACAAATAATCATAAAGGAAATAGCCAGGGAACATATAATGGTGTCAAGGCAAGTCCCCCTGAATAACAGTGACTTTTAAAAGGAGACTTGAAACATGAGTACCACTTGTCCAGTGTGTTTAGGGGAGAGGGAGTGAAGGCATCCTTTCAGAAGGAATAGCATGTATGAAGTCCTCAAGATGCTAGAGAACATGGTGCATTCCAGGAAATGAAAACAGTGGAAAGAGATGAGCAGAAGACTAGAACAGTGGGCACATGGGCCAAACTTAGAGCTAAGAACTTTGGACTTTAGCCTAAAAGCAATGAGAAACTGTTGAAGAGTTTAAAGGGGGGTGGGGGGCGGGGTGCCGTGATGATTTTTATCTGAAAGGAACACTCTGGCTGTTCCTTGGGCAAATTAATTGGAGTGAGGCAAACAAGGTCATTGGGTACCAGTTGTGCAACCAGAGCAATACCTGATGCAAGAAATAGTAACAGATGGAACCCAAGTGTGGGAGTAGAAAGGAAGCATGAGCAGATTCAGGAGCTACTAAAAAGGCAACATCCACATCATCAAAAGGACTTTTAAAAAAGAGACAGGGAGGTATCAAAAATAACTCTGAGGTTTCTGGCTTGAGCAACTGCTGCAAATGGTACTCCATTCAGTGAGACAGAGAGCCCTGGGAGCAGGGTTTAGATCCCAAGTGCAGTGTTGGACACAATGAGCTTTAGGCACCCATCGTATGCATGTACAATAGAATATTAGTCAGCCTTTAAAAAGGAAGGAAATTCTGGCATGTGCTACAACATAGATGAACCTTGGAAACATTAATATCTGAGTATGATATGACCCAATGAATCACTTTTAACTCACAGAATAGAGCAGCAATAAGAGCATGTCCAAAATTAGGTTATAAAAGATTGTTTAAGTGAACTAAGTCAGTCACAAATAGACAAATATTGTATGATTCTACTGGTATGAGGTATCTAGAGGATTAAAACTCCTAGAATCTGAAAGATGGTGGTTGCCAGGGGCTGAGAGTTGAGGGAAAGTGGGGAGTTGTTTTTTTAATGAGTACAGAGTTTGTTTTGCAAAATGAAACAGTTCTGCAGACTGATTTCACACAATGTGAATATATTCAATATCACTGAATGTACAATTAAAAGAATTAAGATGGTAAATTTTGTGTTATGTGTATTTTATCACAATTAAACTTTTTTTTAAATAAAAATACCATTAAAAACTAAGTGTGACATAATATACTAATTAATCCCTGTATTAGTCATCAAGACTGAGAACAGACCCAAAGAGAATTAATCCCCTGTGGCTTTCTTCTCTTTTGTTAGATGTTATGAGAACCTGGCATTAAAACATCGCACATCAGCAAATGCATTAACAGTTGCAGAAGGCTAATAACCAGTATTGCTCATAAATATGAACCCTACAGTCTGATGTAAAGCTTGATAAACTTAAGTGCTTTTAAAAAAAATTGTAAAGAGGGAATGCCCTGGCAGTCCAGTAGTTAGGATTCCGGTAGGGGGCATGGGTTTGATCCCTGGTCAGGACACAAAGATCCTGCAAGCCTCATGGCATAGCCAAAATAAAAATTGTAAAGGTGCATTATCAGTCACCTATTTTTCTTCTTTTTCCAATGTTATCTAAGTTCTTAGGTACTCCTCAAGAAGGGAACCTAGAAAGAAAAGTTCTCCTCAAAAATTCATATAACTTTTGGTTCTTACTTCTAATTTTTACTATAAATCCCACAAAGGGGCAGGAGAGAGATACCCACCTTCTGAAATACAACTGCAGTCTTCAAACAAGCATTTCATATATCATCATCCCATCCTTAAGGCTAACGACCCTCCACTGTGAGACCCTTACCTTGCGAATAAAGTTGACATGACATTCACCATCCTGCACAGGCGGAGGGCAGCTGGGGGGCACCCAGTAGGCAGTGTGAAGTTTACTCCTCTGGTCCGCATATATCACTGGTGACTGGAAACGCACCTCGATGATGTTCACTGCTTTGACCACATGTGTAATATCAAAGCTCTAAATTAAACAGAAAGAACATTTATGAAAGCATCCTCATGTACAAAATTTAAGACATAGGCAAAATGTATGAAAGATGCATAAAATAACTGAAATTTTTAGGTCTAGCCTTTTTGCTGAAGAAAGAATTTCTCCAAGATAGTATAACTTCAGTTCAATTCAGTTGCTCAGTCATGTCAGACTCTTTGTGACCCCATGGACTGCAGCACACCACTCTTCCCTGTCTATCTCCGACTCCCAGAGCTTACCCAAACTCATGTCCATCAAGTCGGTGATGCCATCCAACCATCTCATCCTCTGTCGTCCCCTTCTCCTCCCACCTTCAATCTTTCCCAGCATCAGAGTCTTTTCAACTGAGTCAGTTCTTCGCATCAGGTGACCAAAGTATTGGAGTTTCAGCTTCAGCATCAGTCCTTCCAATGAACACCCAGGACTGACCTCCTTTAGGATGGACTGGTTGGATCTCCTTGCAGTCCAAGGGACTCTCAAGAGTCTTCTCCAACACCACAGTTCAAAAGCATCAATTCTTTGGTGCTCAGCTTTCTTTATAGTCCAACTCTCACATCCATACATGACCACTGGAAAAACCATAGCCTTGACTAGATGGACTTTTGTTAGCAAAGTAATGTCTCTGCTTTTTAATATGCTGTCTACGTTGGTCATAGCTTTTCTTCCAAGGAGTAAGCGTCTTTTGATTTCATGGATACAGTCACCATCTGCAGTGATTTTCGAGCCCAAGAAAATAAAATCATCCACTGTTTCCACTGTTTCCCCATCTATTTGACATGAAGTGATGGAACCAGATGCCATGATCTTAGTTTCCTGAATGTTGAGTTTTAAGACAACTTTTTCACTCTCCTGTTTCACTTTCACCAAGAGGCTCTTTAGTTCCTCTCTACTTTCTGTCATAAGGGTGAGGTTATTGATATTTCTCCCGGCAATCTTGATTCCAGCTTGTGCTTCATCCAGCCTGGCATGTCACATGATGTACTCTGCATATAAGCTAAATCAGCAGGGTGACAATATACAGCCTTGACATACTCCTTTCCCAATTTGGAACCAGTCTGTTGTTTCATGTCCAGTTCTAACTGTTGCTTCTTGGCCTGCATACAGATTTTTCAGGAGGCAGGTCAGGTGATCTGGTATTCCCATCTCTTGAAGAATTTTCCACACTTTTTTGTGATCCACACAATCAAAGGCTTTGGTATAGTCAATAAAGCAGAAGTAGATGTTTTTCTGGAACTCTCTTGCTTTTTCTACAATCCAGCGGATGTCGGCAATTTGATCGCTGGTTCCTCTGCCTTTTCTAAATTCAGCTTGTATAACTTAGTTGTCAACTTTTAGTTATAACTGATCACATTCTCCTACCCAAATGTAGATTTCTAGGTTTTCTCCTGCTATTTTTACTGAGAGATGAGGGTCCAGGGCCAACAGAGCAAACAGAGGCTATGTTCAGTCCTGGAAAGTCTGCTCTTGCTATTTACTTATGGCTTTGCATTGCCAAGTATTTCCTAGATACTTCATAATAACCTGACCCTCTGGTATGCAGAGCATGTATTTTTAAGTCATAAGTTATTTTTGTTTTGAAAAGTCTACCCTTGACAGGGAAGGGAGATCAGGATAGAATCTCTTAAGGTAACACTTCCAGAAAGGAAGGAACACTTCCTTTTAAAAATGGCTTGTCAGTTGTCACTTCCCTTGAAACTCTGGATTCCAAACAACAGAGAAGGGAAGAGCATTTTCAAACATTTCCTATGTGCCAAAAACTAAACCAATCATTTCATACAATTAACTCATTAAATCCTCACAATAATTCTATAGGGCTTGAGTGTCTTCATCATTCAACAAATACGGCAACTGAGAGATAAAGTAACTTACCCATTGCATCAAAGGACTTGTTCCTGCTGCTCGTGGTAACAATGAACACAAATACAAACAGTGGTTCTTTTTAACCTGATGTCCTTATGTACTTACATATCTTCTGAACATGTTGTCTGTTTTGCCAATAGGAATGCTGTTGAGCAGGACTACTGCAACTGTATCAATACCCTCAAAAACCAAATTTACTTTACTCCATTTGCTAAAAAAAGAGAAGATTTTTAAAACAAGATGAATAAGAAATAATAAATAAAACAAGATGAATAAAACATTAACTTAAATAACTAGTCTTTTTTTTATTAAGAATGAAAGGAATAAATATTTCAGAGAAAATATACATTCTTGGGAGGCAACTGTCAATAAAATTTTCAGAAATACTGCTTCAATACATTTTTATGTTGCATGATCCAGTTTAACTTTCTTGATAATATTTCAACCATTATCAAATCATGAGCATAACTTTTAATTTCCATGCACTGACTTTTTCCCTAGAACTTCACAAAGTTCTTAAATGAATCAAGTTCAATATTGATAACAGACACAAAACATTTTCACAAACCAGTACATTTACTGATCCTAAGAGAACATATTAACCAACTAGCAAGTATCTATGAGTAAATGTTATGTGCCCAGTACTCTGCTAAGCCTTACAGAGAACTAAAACAGTCTCTGAATTTAAGGAATCTGAAATCTGTTTGGCATTCAAGCCTAAAACACAGGAAACAAAGAGAAAGCTTCCAATCTCTTCTACTTTGGGATATAGTCTTGATGAATAGACAAGTGATATCAGAGTTTATGTTATAAAGAAAGACTTCAAGAAGGAAACAAGAGTTTAAAGAACAAAATAAATAAAATGTGGCATATCCATACAATAAAATAGTATTCAGCAATAAAAAGAAGTACTGGCGGCCATGACAACACAGACAAACTTGAAAACAGCATTATGCTAAGTGAAAGAAACCAGTCATAAAGGAGGTATATATTGTACAATTCCATTTCTTTGAGACTTCCAGAAGAGAAAAATGTATAGCGATAAAAAATAAATTAGCAGTTGCCTAGGGCTGGGAGAAGAATAGGAGGATGGTGATGCAGGAAGTAGTACAGGATTTGCAACAGTAAGCAGCATTTTCACAGACAAGCAGAGAAGGTTAAACTTGATCTGCCAATCAAAAGGAAGACACTCTCATTCTTAAGCAAGAATGTCATGGTAAAATAAATATTTGAGGGCTTTCCTGGAGGTCAAGTGGTTAAAAATTCGCCTAACTGGTTCAATCCCTGGTCCAGGAAGATCCCACATGCCTCGGGGCAACTAAGCCCATGTACCACAACTGCTGAAGCCCAGGGCCTGTGATCTGCAACAAGAGAAGCCTGCACATCACAACTAGACAGTACGAAAGCCTGAGCACAGCAATAGAGACCCAGAGCAGCCGAAAAATAAAATAAATAAGAATTTGGAAGAGATGAATCTAATGTTTCTACATACTGAAGACTAGAGAATAAAAAGATAAAGCAAGAAATCTTAGTAGGTAGCACAGGCCTAATGCCAGGTATAAAGGCCTAGGCAAAGGTGAAAACTTAGAAATGAGAAGGTAGGAGCTGAATCAAGAGAAATGACAGGCAAAAATTAACAGAACTCAGAAACAGGCCAAATACAGGAAGATGAAGAAAAGATATGATAAGCCAAAAACTCCTTGGGCATGGGAGATTGGGAAGATGATATTATCTCAAGAGAACCAATGAGGTGGTTGGAATCTAATGCAAGCTTTAAGTCGGACAGTCAATTGGTTAACTAAATGTTGAGTTCAAGATGAAAGAGGACCCCCTATTGGAGATATTTTAAGTATTAGCTGGAAATAAGAGTCTGGAACACTGTAACTCCATGATATTGAGCACTATTTTCTGGCTTTATTTCTCCTTTAAGAAGCTAGTGATTAATTACCGCCCGCCCCCCAAAAAAGGTCATATTAAAAGGACAGAGGGTTTTTTTTTTTAATTTAGCAATAATGGTGGTAGATATTAATATAATTAGGTTGAAGCTTCCAAGGTGGCCCAGTGGTAAAGTATCTGCCTGCCAATGCAGGAGACACAGGTTCAGTCCTTAGGTCGGGAAGATCCCCTGGAGTAGGAAATAGCAACTCATTCCAGTATTCTTGCCTGGAAAATTCCATGGACAGAGGAGACTGGCAGGATACAGTCCATGGGGTTGCAAAGAGTTGGGCATGACTGAGCAGCTCAGCACACACACACATAATTGAGTTACATTCTGCTACATAGGACATTACTGAAAACTACACCATGCCTTTCCTTGTGTCCTCATGATATAAGGCCAACACCATAGTTTCTGTGGCTGGTTAACACTATATCAAACAAATGCTGTATCTCTAAGCCTATTTGACAACATTGTAAATATATACACTTTATGGATTACTGGGAGAGCAGGGAAAAGAAAAGGAAGATAAAAGAACTAATCTAGGTGATGCCATTATAACCACTGGAAAAAAATGACTGAATAAGAGATAATTCTGTGACTGATGATCAGCAGCACAATCCTCATATACAAATCAAAATATAAATCATATTTTCACTTTTATAGTTCAGGCTTTAGTATGACAATGTAACCTAAACAAACAAAAGATTACTGCAAACAGAAAAAGAAGTTCAAATAATAATAATAAATGAATAAATAGACATAGATATAAATATAGATATACACACATATGTACCTCATATCAAAGCGGAGTTTAAATTTCTTGGTATAGGTCCAGTTATCCAAGGCGATCCATCTGTAGTCAAGGTTATTAAATCTGTAGTAAGGATCCTGTTGATAAAAAAATACAGTAGGTGATTAAATATGCAAAAATAATTAATGAAATAAACTAGTAATGATAGTTATTTATTACCTAAAAATCAATGAACGATTGGCCTAGGAATGCAAGCATTTCATATGCTAGCCCATCCCATCCTCAAGGCTAAAGCTCCGTCTGTTTAAGATACCATTACCTTTCAAACAAAGTTGCCAGGGCATTAATATCCTAAAAATACTAAAAATATTTTTAAATGTAAAAGTCTAACAAAGTACCCAAAATGAAAGCATGCTGAGATACAACTATTACAGTTTCATGAGGACTTCCCTGTTGGCTCAGATGGCAAAGAATCCCCCTGCAGTGCCAGAGACCTGAGTTCAATCCCTGGGTCAGGAAGATCCCCTGGAGTAGAGCAAGGCAACACACCCCAGTATTCTTACCTGGAGAATCCCATGGACAGAGGAGCCTGGTGGGCTATAGTCCGTGGGGTTGCCAAGAGTCAGACATGACTAAGCAACCAGCACACACAAAGTTTCATTATCAAAGAAATATGTGGAGATGTGGAAATGAAGACTGGGTTCTCCACATATGTGGAGATGAAGATTGCGTTCCCCTGTTAAAACCAAACACAGAACCTGCAAGGTCACAGCAGAGAATGACCGGCAGCACTTTCAATGGTGGGACGCCATCAGGCACTCTCTGCCCTCTGGTTCTCACTTTGCATCTTGCTGCCACTGTCCCAGCCGGCTTCCCCCGGGGAATGCTTCTTCTCTGTCGCCCAAAGATCAGCCAAACTCCCCACTCCTTGGATTTACTCTGGATTTACAGAGCTATTTTTCACTCAGCTTTACTGTGTGTGCGTGCATGCTAAGTCGCTTCAGTCATGTCCAACTCTTTGCAACCCTACGGACTATAGCCCACCAGGCTCCTCTGTCCATGAGATTCTCCAGGCAAGAACACTGGAGTGGGCTGCCATGCCCTCCTCCAGGGGATCATCCCAACGCAGGGATCGAACCCATGTCTCTTACCTCTTACGTCTCCTGAATTGGCAGGTGGGTTCTTCACCATTAGCACCACCTGGGGAGCCCTCAGATTCACTATGCTATGCAGTGCTCAGCTGGTCAGTAGTATCCAACTCTTTGTGACCCCATGTACTGTAACCTATCAGGCTCCTCTGTCCATGGGGATTCTCCAGGCAAGAATACTGGAGTGGGCTGCCATGCCCTCCTCCAGGGGATCATCCCAACGCAGGGGTTGAACCCAGGTGTCCTGCATTGCAGGAGGATTCTTTACCAGCTGAGCCAGCAGGGAAGCCCAAGAATACTGGAGTGGGTAACCTATCCCTTCTCCAGGGGAACTTCCCAACCCAGGACTCAAATTGGAGTCTCCAGCATTGCAGACGGATTCTTTCCCATCTGAGCCATCAGGGAAACCCTTAGTTTACTAAGTGAGCACAGAAAGTATCTCTCCAGAGAACATGCAGGCAGCACAGACACTGTCAAACTTACAGACTTCATGTTTCCTGTACTAGCCTAGACCAGGTCTGCAAACTACAACCCACAGGCCTAATGCAGCTCACTATCTGTTTTTGGGCGGCCAGTGAACTAAGAACGGACATGCATCAGTCAAGTTTTACAGGAGCACAGACAGGTCCATTCCTTTGTAAATTATATACAGCAGTTTTCACGCTATAATATCAGAGCTGAGTAGACATGACAGAGACCTAATGACCCATGATGCCTAAAACAGCATTAATAACATCTGGCCCTTCATCAGCCTCTGCCTTCGATGACTGGCCTGCTGGGTGTTCACAAATGCTATTCTCTCTGAGGGTCCAGCCCCAATTCCTCCTGTCCATAATACTTACATCTTTCTTCCCCTTCTCATTTTCTACCCTTTAGCTTCCTGATGAGGGCTCCCAGGCAGGAGGCAGAATGGTACAAGAAGCTTGTCAGTTCATCTGTCTGTGAACACCACCACAGCTACACGGAGGGACATCGTGCAGGCTAAGAGGGCCTCTCGCCTCTGACTGGGCCAGGGTCAAGGGCGATTTCCTCAGGAACTGCAACTCCAAGTTGAGAGGGAAAAGCCAGCTTTATCTACGTTCCACAGAGGTAAGGGCTGACCATTAACAACAGCCAGTTGGGCACCTGCCCAGGGCACAAAATGTAAGAGGCACTATAACATCACTGGGTGTGTATCAAAATGGAAAGAAAACGTGTCAACCAGAAACTGCTCCTGACTGGAAGAAACACTTTGGTATCACAGGGGCGATCAGCAGTTGACCAGACTTAACAACAACCAATAATCACCAACCTGACTTTTAAGGTCTGGTTAACCTGTGAGCTTTTTGTTCTGCTAAATGCAGTGCGCCAGACCCAGCCCACTTGCTTCCTTTTCTTCTCTTTGCCCACACACGGCGCCCAGCACACTCCACCGAACTAATGTGAAGTAAACAGTTAAGGACACAGGTTTGAAGAGGCACCTAATTATAAGCCTGCCCGTGTGTTTCCATCCTGCCCTATTTATAACTCTACACTGTGGACTTAATCCAATACAGTTAAAAATATCAGAAGGAAGGTGTGAAGGCCAACGTAGTTGCAACACTTCAACCTGCTAAGGTTCAACCTGCTAACAGCCTCAGGGATGGCTGATGGGACACAAGACCGCTTCCTATCTCCCAGATCCTTGAAGGAAGCGGCATGTTGAGCTCCAGCGGGTAATCATCTCAGATAAATTTTTTCTAAACAAGGAGAATTTAGATGTTAAATATTTCCTATTTCTTGAAAGAAGCAAATCTGGAAAGGCTACAGACCCAGTTCAGTTCAGTTCAGTCACTCAGTTGTGTCCAACTCTTTGCAAGCCCATGAACCGCAGCACGCCAGGCCTCCCTGTCCATCACCAACTCCTGGAGTCCACCCAAACTCATGTCCATTGAGTTGGTGATGCCATCCAGCCATCTCATCCTCTGTCATCCCCTTCTCCTCCTGCCCTCAATTTTTCCCAGCATCAGGCTCTTTTCCAATGAGTCAGCTCTTCACATCAGGTGGCCAAAGTATTGCAGTTTCAGCTTCAACATCAGTCCTTCCAGTGAACACCCAGGACTGATCTCCTTTAGGATGGACTGGTTGGATCTCCTTGCAGTCCAAGGGACTCTCAAGAGTCTTCTCCAACACCACAGTTCAAAAGCATCAATTCTTCAGCGCTCAGCTTTCTTCACAGTCCAACTCTCACATCCATACATGACCACTGGAAAAACCATAGCCTTGACTAGACGGACCTTTGTTGGCAAAGTAATGTCTCTGCTTTTTACTATGCTATCTAGGTTGATCATAACTTTCCTTCCAAGGAGTAAGTGTCTTTTAATTTTATGGCTGCAATCACTGTCTGCAGTGATTTTGGAGCCCAGAAAAATAAAGTCAGCCACTGTTTCCACTGTTTCCCCATCTATTTGCCATGAAGTGATGGGACCAGATGCCATGATCTAGGTTTTTTTAATGTTTAGCTTTAAGCCAACTTTTTCACTCTCGTCTTTCACTTTCATCAAGAGGCTCTTCAGTTCTTCTTCACTCTGCCTTAAGGGTGGTATTATCTGCATATCTGAGGTTATTGATATTTCTCCCGGCAATCTTGATTCCAGCTTGTGCTTCCTCCAGACCAGCATTTCTCATGATGTACTCTGCATATAAGTTAAATAAGCAGGGTGACAATATACAGCCTTGACGTACTCCTTTACCTATTTGGAACCAGTCTGTTATTCCATGTCCAGTTCTAACTGTTGCTTCCTGACCTGCATACAGATTTCTCAAGAGGCAGGTCAGGTGGTCTGGTAGTCCCATCTCTTTAAGAATTTTCCAAACTTTATTGTGATCCACACAGTCAAAGACTTTGGCATAGTCAATAAAGCAGAAATAGATGTTGTTCTGGAACTCTCTTGCTTTCTCGATGATCCAGCGGATGTTGGCAATTTGATCTCTGGTTCCTCTGCCTTTTCTAAAAGCAGCTTGAACATCTGGAAGTTCACAGTTCACATATTGCTGAAGACTGGCCTGGAGAATTTTAAGCATTACTTTACTAGCGAGTGAGATGAGTGCAATTGTGCGGTAGTTTGAGCATTCTTTGGCATTGCCTTTGTTTGGGATTGAAATGAAAACTGACCTTTTCCAGTCCTGTGGCCACTGCTGAGTTTTCCAAATTTGCTGACATACTGAATGCAGCACTTTCACAGCATCATCTTTCAGGATTTGAAATAGCTCAACTGGAATTCTATCACCTCCACTAGCTTTGTTCATAGTAATGCTTTCTAAGGCCCACTTGACTTCATATTCCAAGATGTCTGACTCTAGGTGAGTGATCACACCATCGTGATTATCTGGGTCGGGAAGATCTTTTTTGTACAGTTCTTCTGTGTATTCTTGCCACCTCTTCTTAATATCTTCTGCTTCTGTTAGGTCCCTACCATTTCTGTCCTTTATTGAACCCATCTTTGCATGAAATGTTTCCTTGGTAGCTCTAATTTTCTTGAAGAGATCTCTAGTCTTTCCCATTCTATTGTTTTCCTCTATTTCTTTGCATTGATCGCTGAGGAAGGCTTTCTTATCTCTCCTTGCTATTCTTTGGAACTCTTCAGTCAAATGGGAATATCTTTCCTTTTCTCCTTTGCTTTTCGCTTCCCCTCTTTCCACTTCCCTTCTTTTCACAGCTATTTGCAAGGCCTCCTCAGACAGCCATTTTGCTTTTTTGCATTTCTTTTTCTTGGGGATGGTCTCGATTCCTGTCTCAGGTACAGTGTCACGAACCTCTGTCCATAGTTCATCAGGCCCTCTGGCTACAGATTATATGATGCCAATTATATGATATTCTGGAAAGGCAAAGCTATGGAGACACTAAAAGCATCAGTGGATACCGGAAATAAAGGAGGAGAGAAGGATGAACAGGTAGAGAACAGAGGATCTTTAGCGCAGTGAAACTATTCTGAGTGATACTATGACGGTGGGTACATATCATTATATAT